TGTAGCTGTTTAACTTTATTATTTTTTATTTTTATTTTATTTTATTTTTAATTTTTTTTTTAATTTACATCCAAGTTAGTTAGCGTATAGTGCAACAATGATTTCAGGAGTAGCTTCCTTAGCCCCTGACCCGTTTAGCCCATGCTCCCTCTGTTTGTTCTCCATATTTAAGAGTCTCTTATGGTTTGTCCCCCTCCCTGTTTTTATATTATTTTTGCTTCCCTTCCCATATGTTCATCTGTTTTGTATCTGACATTCCTCATATGAGTGAAGTCATATGATGTTTGTCTTTCTCTGATTGACTAATTTTGCTTAGCATAATACCCTCCAGTTCCATCCACATAGTCGCAAATGGCAATCAGCTTATGTTCTCCTGGTTCATGAGTTCGAGCCCCACGTTGGGCTCTGTGCTGACAGCTCAGAACCTGGAGCCTGCTTCAGATTCTGTGTCTCCCTCTCTCTCTGCCCTTCCCCTGCTCACACTCTGTATCCCTCTCTCTCTTAAAAATAAATAAACATTTTTGAAAAATTAAAAAAGAAGAGGGAGAGACACCAGAGCCCCCTCTCTCCTCCATGAGAGGTACAGCGAGAAGGCAGCCATCTTCCAGTGAGGAAGAGAGCCCTCACCAGGAACCATATCTACAGGCACCTTGACGTTGGACTTCCCGGCTTCCAGACCCCTGTTGCTTATAAGCCACACAGACTATGGTATTTTTAAAATAGCAGCCTGAGCCGAATAAGACACATGCCTCTCACCCCATTCCTAAAAGCACGGATTTAACATGATCTCCCTGTTCAGGGCCCAGGACTGGCTTTGTCCTTTTCAGCTGTAAGGGTGTGCATGGGTTAGGATGTGTGCAGTTGTTAGCAAGAGGCAACAACACAGACAGGTATAAACAAATGAACAAATGACTAACTGGCTCAGGTAACTGAAAGTCCTGTTTCGGAGCGAGCCCATAGATGCTGCTGAGGACCCCATGCCTGCCCATCTCTACTTCCTATGGTCTCTGTCCCAAGTTATGGGCTGAACGTGTGGTCAATTGTGATGACAGGCTTGGAGGAAAGGGCCAGGAGAAAACAGGGCTTGTATCGGAAGTGAAATCTAGTTATCACAAAAGACTCCCCACCACCCCGATTTTCCTGGGCCTCACCCCAGACTCACTGAATTGGACTCTCTTGGGTGTGGGTTAAGAATCTGCATTTTTTTTTAAGTTTATTTTGAGAGGTGGGGGAGGGGCAGAGAGAGAGGGAGAGAGAGAGAATCCCAAGCAGGCTCCACACATTGAACGCAGAGCCAGACGAGAGGCTCAATCCCATGAACCACGAAATCATGACCTCAGCAGAAATCAAGAGTCAGCCGCTGAACAGACTGAGCCACCCGGCCACCCCAAGGATCTGCATTTTAATAAGTGCCCCCAGGGAAATGAAATCCACAATGGGATCTCCCTTTACACCCACTAGAACAGCTAGAATAAAAAAGATAATCGCAAATGTTGTCAGGGATGTGCAGAAATTGGAAACTTAGAAGACATTCATAAGACAGCAAGGGCGCCTGGGGGGCTCAGTCAGTTGAGCGGCTGACTTCGGCTCAGGTGGGTTCGAGCCCCGCGTCTGACTTTGTGCTGACAGCTCAGAGCCTGGAGCCTGCTTCAGATTCTGTGTCTTGCTCTCTCTCTCTCTGCCCCTCCCTGCTTGTGCACTCTCTCTCTCTGTCTCTAAATAAATAAATGTTAAAATTTTTAAAAAAACAGAGAACAGATCTTCAAAATTCTCATCATGAGGGGAAAAAATGTATAACTGTTAACTATGGAACTAGATTTATTGTGGAGATCACTTTGCAATATATACATCTATTGAATCATTATGCTGCATTCTTGAAACTAATACAATGTTATGTGTCAATTATATTATATATATATTACTATATATATATAATATATATATATAATTATATTATATGTGGTGAGTGTCTCGCATATTTTGCAATACGATCGCCTATCAAATGCCTGGCAATGCCAGCCCTACCCAGAGGCCACGGTGAGGCTCCTGACTGTCCAGCCAGTAGCCTTTGAGGATGAGGACACTGACCCCCAGAGAGAGCTGCTGCTGGAGGGCCAGGGGGCAAGGATTCTAAAAGCAGCCTCCCCGTCACCCTGCCTCTGTCCTCCCTCCCCCTTCCCTGCACCAGAGGTGAGAGGGACTGTGGGAGAGGCCACCAGACAGCTGACCAGGGAAACCCAGAGGAGGGAGATGAGTCCTGGCTTGCAGCCCCACCTCCGTCCTGGGCCTGGACCCGAACCCCTCAGGCTATGGCGGTTTGCTCTAATCTGTAACCTGCAGGTGACATTATCTACCCCAACGTGGGAAGATTAAATCAACTCGTGTATGAAGTAGCTAGAAGAATGCCCAACGATAGCAGCTATTAAATAAACAAGCAGTTGTGACTCAGCCCGGACTCCCGAAGTCAGTCCCAAAATCGCCATCAATGAGGCCATCAGGAAGCCAAGAGGGCACAGTGGAAGTCAGAGGGAGGTGATGGTTCCAGGGCGAGGGGGGCACGGTCCGAGCTGCCCTCAGTGAAGGAGGCATCACAAGTTAGCCCTACTTTCCACGTTGTCGGATCTCATCCAAAGCATCCCATGGCCTGGCCGTGGCACAGGTGGACCAGTCCTCCTGGCTGTTGCCCCCAGACCACCCTGCACCACCTCTTGGAATTCCTGGAAGGCCCAGCCCGTCTCATTCCGCATCAGAAGCTCTGCCCTCTCCCTCCGGCCTCTTACAGTGATGTGTCACAGCCCGGTGCCCCGTTCCTTTTCCTGAGCGAAAGTAGGTTTTGGAGGTGAGCACCACGGGGCGAGAAAGAAAAGCCGTGGGTCCCCAGGAGTCCCGGACAAGGCGTTTGGGGACCGTAGGTGGACATGCGCCACTCCAGGGATGGCTCGGCAGCCGGGCACCCTGGGCGAGGCCAGGTTGGGACTCAGATCTTGGGAAGGGCGGCAGGGGCTGGCCCTCTCTGGTCTCGGCTTGGGCAGACTCTGATAGCCTCTCTGCCCATTCAGAGGAGGAAGGGCTGATGACCAGCGGGACCACTTGTCCCCAAAGACTTTGGATTCTGACAATCCGTGGTTTCCAGAACTTCACAGGTACAACAGGGTTAGGGCACGGAGCGCAGGTGACCAACACTGCCAGGCTCTTGGGCCCCGGGAGGTGGGGGCTGGGGGACAGGCTTCCCTGGGGCAGGCGGAGGCAGGAACACAGGTATGCTGGAAGCACCCATCCTCCGCTCCCTCAGGGTGTCTGTTCTTCCCTCTCCTGCTCTTTACTGGGCTGCTGTGGCTGTCCTTGTCCAAGGTCAGCTATAGGCCCCCAGGGCCACGGGCTTCCAAGCCTGGTCTTTGGTGGCAGACATTGCCTGGGCAGGGAGGGGGGCACTTCCCAGAGAGAGGTGGGGCTGGTTTCCTGGTCAGCTGCCCTGGTGGCCCACCCAGAGCCTCTCCCCACTCTGGTGCAGGGGTGGGGAGGGAAGGGGTGGAGGAGGCTCCACCCCCGCCCTCCTCGTGCGTCTTCAGACGGGATGAACCAAGATCTAGACTGAGAAACAAGCTCCCTGAGGGCCCAGTGTGGAGCGTGCACACAGCAGGCACTACACTAAGCCGGTCTCTTGTTCTGCGCTCCCTGCTTGTCCCAGTCTGGAAGAGACGGGGGTCGGGACTCCAGAGTTCTCCTGGGCTGGGGGGGGGCGGGCCGGCAGTAGGGAGGGAAATGGGCCGTTCGGGGTGTAGAATCCAGGACAGACCCCCAACCCTCGAGGGACTGAAGAGTGGGCAGACACAGGGATAGGGGTGTCCTGAGTCCCAGCCCTGTCCCGCCTGCCCCAACAGCCTGCCTGTGCCGGTCCAGCCCCGGGAGTGGACATTCTTCCAGGGAAACGATTACTTCTCCAGTTCCCATCACAACGGACACAATTCTGTCACTGCCGGCCAGGAAGTGGGGAGTCGATTCATCGAATTGCAACTGCCCCGGGGGCGGGGGAGTTGTCTGGGTGGCTCCGTCGGTTAAGCATCTTGATTTAGGCTCAGGTCAGGATCTCACCGTTTGTGGGTTTGAGCCCTGTGTCGGGCCCTGTGCTGACAGAGCGGAGCCGACTTGGGATCCTCTCTCCCTCTCTTGCTCTCTCTCTGCCCCCCCCCCCCCCCCCCTTGTGCATGCACTCTCTCTCTCAAAATAAATAAACATTAAAAAAAAAAAAATGCCGAGGAGCAGGTCTGCCTGTCCAGGGAGCCACCGTGACCCTGGGGCATGCACCTGGCCACAGGATTTTCTGGAAGACAGGCTGTTTGCTCCACTTGGAAAGGGGAGGGAGAGAAGGAAACGAACCAGGCACCCTGCAAGGAGGTGCAACACTTGTGTTTGGGGAACGCCTAAACCGGAAACAAGCCCCAGGCGAACGAACGAACGTTTAACAACCTGCGCTCTGCAGGGGGGACGGGGTGGGGTGGTGAGGGGGGGGAAGCGAGTCCTGATGCGAAGCGTCCGCCAGTCTCCCTCGTGTACATCCTGCCGCTGTGGCTGATTCCAAGCTGTTAACATGATGCCCCTCCACGCGGAGCTGAACAGAGACCGGCTCTCAGGGACTGGCTCGTTTTGCTTCCAGCACGCGAACCCGAGTCGTGAGTAAATTCGCGAGTAGTCCGTCCTTGGCGCCTGGGAGACGCTTGCGCGCGCCTGGTGACCCAGTGTGTGTGATGGGAGAGCTGCTCAGGCCAGAGGGTCAGACTGAAAGAAGAACTTCCTGCCAAGTGCCTAGGGAGACGCTGAGCCCAAGAAGTGGGGGGTCAGAGCCCCCTCCGGACTCCTCTCCAGACACCAGAACTTTCTGCCGCTGCAGACGGTTCAAGAGTAACCGCTTCACCTGCCGGGGGCTCTCAGACGTGGAACAGAAGCCACTGGATGGACAAATCACCCCGTGCTGCCCCAGGCGAGTCTCGGGAGAAGGAAACGCCCTAGTGGGGGTGCGGGTGCGAAACCCTGACATGAGCTTTCCCCGGGGATCCTCCCCGGGCTCCCTGACCCGTAGGCCTAAGAATCTGGGATTTCTACTGAGTCGAGGAAGGTGGTGCTCACATACTCCGGCTCAGATAGGTTGCCGGGTGCCCCAAATTCTACCGTCAGAGCTCCAGTCAGGATGAGCTTGCAATCCAGGTGAATGCTTGAAAAAAACTTTTTTAAGTTTATTTGTTTACTTAGAGCAAGCTGGGTAAGGGCAGAGAGAGAGAGAGAGAGAGAGAGAGAGAATCCCAAGCAGGCCCCGCACTGTCAGTGCAGAGCCCGATGTGAGGCTCGAACCCACGAACCGTGAGATCGTGACCTGAGCCTAAATCAAGAGTCAGACGCTTAACTGACTGAGCCACCCAGGTGCCCCTGAGTGCTGTAAAATATAGCGTATTGGGGCACCTGGGTGGCCCTGTCGGCTAAGCGTCCACCTTCGGCTCAGGTCACGATCTCACGGTTTGTGAGTTCAAGCCCCACGTCAGGGTCTGTGCTGACAGCTCAGAGCCTGGAGCCTGCTTCGGATTCTGCGTCTCCCTCTCTCTGTCCCTCCCCTGCTGACATTCTGTCTCTCTCTCTCTCTCAAAAATAAATAAACATTAAAAACATTGAACACCATGGTAACAACCACTTGGTGGTAACAACCACCAAGGCAAAACCCACAGACAGATGCTTATAGTTAACATGTGCTACTCTAATGAGAGAAGCAGGATATTTGCATAACTTCCAGTTTGTGTTATCTCCCCCCTGAAAAATATTTATTAATTACTGTGCTGGTTTTAACATGGGTTCGCACGGGGCGCCTGGGTGGCTCAGTCGGTTGAGCGTACGACTTCAGCTCAGGTCACGATCTCACGGTTCATGAGTTGGAGCCCCGCGTCGGGCTCTGTGCTGACGGCTCAGAACCTGAAGCCTGCTTCGGATTCTGTGTCTCCCTCTCTCTCTGCCCCTCCCCCCACTTGTGCTCTGTCTCTCAAAAATAAATAAATGTAAAAAAAAAAATTTAAAAAAACCACACAGGTTCACACATGTAAAAAAAATTTTTTTTAAGTTTTTATTTATTTTTGAGAGAGAGAGAGAGAGAGCTAACAGGGGAGGGGCAGAGAGAGAATCCCAAGCAGAGTCCAGAGTCAGCCCAGAGCCTAATATGGGGCTTAAACCCACGAACCATGAGATCGTGACCTGAGTTGAAATCAAGTTGGACACTTAACCAACTGAGCCACCCGGGCACCCCTGTTTACACATTTTTTAAGAGTGCTTCCTGTGGGAGGAGGGAATTAATTCTCTTCCCCTTGGAGTGGGGCCGGCTTAGGGACTCACCTCATAGGAATAAAGCAGTGTTTATTAACCTTCTTTTAAATTTTGCACCCTCCCCCCGCCACCACCAAATAGCCTTTTAAATATTTTCCCTCCTTGCCCCCTTATATCCAATATTAAGAAGTAAGGGGTGCCTGGGTGGCTCAGTTAAGCGATCAACTTTGCCTCAGGTCATGATCTTGCGGCCCCGTGAGTTCGAGCCCAGCATCGGGCTCTGTGCTGACAGCTCAGAGCCTGGAATCTGCTTCGGGTTGTGCGTCTCCCTGTCTCTCTGCCCCTCCCCCGCTCGTGCTCTGTCTCTCTCACTCTCAAAAATAAAATAAACACACACACAATTTTTTTTTTTAATAAGGTCATGAGGACGGACCCTAACCCAGTATGACTGGGGTCCTTATCAGAGGAGGTTAGGACACAGACGCGCACAGAGGGATAATCGTGTGAGGACACAGGGAGGAGACAGCGTCTATGCCCCCACGAGAGACGCCTCGGAAGGAACCAGACCAACTTGCCCACGGCTGGATCTCAGACTTCCAGCCTCCAGAGCCGTGAGACAACACATGTCCGGTGTGTTAGCCGCCCTGCGTGTGGTCCTTTGTCGCGGCAGTCCTAGGAGGCTAACGTGGGGTCTGGACTCAATGCCACGTGGGGTCCTGGATTCAATCCTGGAACGGGAAAAGGACACCCGTGGAAAAACCTGAAACACAGACGAAGCCTTTTGTTTCGCTAATGGTATTGCACCAATGTTCCTTTCCTCTTTTTGACAACTGACAGTAATTTAAGATGTTAACAGGAGAGGAAGCTGAGTTAAGTGTATACGGAACTTCCTGCACTATCTTTGCAATTAATCTGTAAATCCAAATGGTTGCACAACAGTGTGAATGTGATTGATGCTGTTGAGCTGTGTGCTTAAATATGATTAAGACGAAAAATTCTATGTTGTATGTGTGTCTTTTACCACAATAAAACAACTCTGTCAAAAATCTACTTGGGATGTTTAGGGACGCCCGGGTGGCTCAGTCAGTTGAGCATCCGACTTTGGCTCAGGTCATGGTCTCGAGGTTCATGAGTTCGAGCCCCCCGTCAGGCTCTGTGCTGACAGCTCGGAGCCTGGAGCCTGCTTCGGATTCTGGGTCTCCCTCTCTCCGAAAATAAATAATAAACATTAAAAAAATTTTTTTAAAAAGGAAGACACTGCTGTGGGTTCCTGGAAATTGCTGCTTATCAAATTATGGAAGTTTTATCCTGTCCTTTGTTTACTAAGCACAAATGCTTAGCTTTTTTTTTTTTTTTCTTTTTAATGAAGAGTGTTGAAAAGATATATCTTGTAGTGTGGAGGAGGTAAAAGGTAAATTGTGGAAGGGTACAAAACAAGGGCACCACTTACAGAAAGCTTCTGGATGTGTAAAACCACCCAATATATTGTCTAAATGCGCAGTTGAAGTGGGTGTTAACATAGTAAACACCAAGTCTGAGATGGCAGTCGCCTCGGGGGAGAAAAGAGAGAAGGTGCACAGGACCTGCCGGTTACCATTTATTTACTATCCGCCCCCACCGCCCCGCTCCCACTGAAAAGTTTTTCCGGGCCTTTTGGATCGAAGCAGGAATTGACGTGTCGGGCAGGGTGGTCCCATCATCCTTCTGCTGGGACCAACGCCATGACCTCCTCTTTGATCGTTCCATGTCTGGCCCTCACACAGAGCGTCCGGACTTTCTCATCCGATGCCGAAGCCCGACCTACTCAGCACCACACAGGCCATACATACCGGTGCTTGGGTCCCCACATCGACGCGCTCCTGGATCCCCACACCAAAGTTTCTCGTGCCGGAGAAGTTAGTATTTCTCAACTCATGCTCCCACATCTTTAGAACTTTCTCGGGGATTTCTTCAGCCTTGACCCCACGGACTGTGCAGTGCACGGCCATCTTTTTGTTTCATTTCTCCTGCTGCCAAAGGCTCTGACGGCATATCCAGCTCTGGAGAGCACGGGAGACCACGGAGCCTGGTGCACTGCTCCAGCACCCTGGCCACCCCGGTCCGTCTGTCTCCCATCTCCCCAACCCCCCCCCCCGACCCCCCGACCACAGAGGTTGAGGCAAGAACTTGCAGATGAGAAGTTCGCACGTGGGATTCCCCTTTTCACCTTGATCCGCTACGGCGGAGATCAGGAAGAGAGAGCACAACTTATTTCCTTTTAAGAGGATCCGAAATATGTGACCAAGTCAAAACCTGGTGAAGCCGAGTGGAGATCGCGTGGGTTTTTGTGTTTCTACTTTTTCTCTGCATACCTTTGTGTGTGCTCACGTTTTCTCATAATAAAAAGGCAAAGCCAAGACTGACAGCCACAGCCAATGCTTAACACAGCCTTTGCACTCAGCCAGGTTCCCTGGGGAGTGGCGAGCCTCCCGTCTCCGGAGAAAATGGAAGCCACAGAGTGGTCTTAGCCTTGGAGCTGAACCCTGGGACTTCTGCCTTCTTCCCACTTTATTTTTTACGTATTTCTTTTTTTAAGTTTATTTATTCCGAGAGTGTGTGTGTGTGCTCACGTGTGCATGTGATTGGGGGGGAGAAGCAGGAGAGGGAGAGAATCCCAAGCAGGCTCCACGCTGTCAGCATAGAGCCTGGAACGGGGCTTGATCCCATGAACTGCGAGATCATGACCTGAGCCGAAGTCGGATGCTCAACCGACTGAGCACCCCCAGGTGCCCCTGCTTAGTCCAAACTCCTAGTCCCTGCTATTTGAGTCCTTGTGTGGTCCAGCCCCAGACTACTGCCCCTGAGTTAGTCTCAGCCTTTCCAAGAGTCCCACTCCCAAACTCTGCACATGCTAATATCACAGCGGGGACGCTCCTTCATCCACACATCCCCTCCAGAATAATTCTGGCTCCTCCAGACGTCACCACCTCCTCCAGGAAGCCCTCCCGGATCCTCTAGGCTGAGTCCGATGCCTCCAGTGGTCCTCACGTTCCCTGTGCTTCTGAGACTCATGACATTGTTTTCAAATCCCTGGTCACATGTTCTGCCTCCCCACCCCAACCCAGTGGGTCTCCCTTCCCTCTTCTGGGTCCAGGGCTCTTTTGGGTCTGGGTGGTTAAAGGTCTGTGGCCAGCTTCATGCCAGGAACCTCCCTTTCCTTTTAATTCCCCTTTCAGTGAATTTTGGGCATGGGACAGGGGTGGGTCGCCTTCTGGTTGCCTCGCTGGGCTGGACAGCTTCCCCTGGCTCCCCAAGGCAGCTTCAGCCCCAGCCACATACAAAAGAGACCCAACTTCCTGCCTCTTGTGCCTTGGCCGTGCCCTCTGCATGACAGACCCTTCCTTTTTCTCTCGCCAGTGGACGTGTCCTCGATGCCCACTTCCAGAAGGCCACCTCTGCTCCTCCAAAGAGCATTCACTGTTTCTCCCTCCGTAAGGGCTGATGAATCAATCCTATCTACCCCCTTTCCAAGAACCTTATTCGGATGAGGTTGTGCAATCCTTTGCGGCTTTTTTTTTTTTTTTCCTGTTTCCTCCCACTGAGCCCACGCCCCTCCTGAGTACTGCTGTCCTGGAGAGCCCCAGAAGGAGGGTGTGACCTCCCAGAAAGTTCTGCTCCACAGTGAAATCCTGCTGCTAAGTCAGCTGTCGGTGCCTGTTGACGCGGGCTCCGTTTCTGATGAGAAAGGAAGCACAAGCCTTGCATCTCGGAAGAAGGGGACTTCTGAGAAAAGCAGCAAGACCCTCCCGTTTTTTGGGAAAAGACTTCCTCGGTCCTGAACTGTCCTCTGAGCATTGCTGACTTCTGACACCTGACTTCTTCCCCGCTCTGTGTCATGGGCATCTACTCCAAGCTCTGTGATGGTCTGTGACACACGTACTTAAACATCCGTACGTGGTGTCGTTGTGTGTGACTCACATCGATGTCACAGGACGGCGAGTCTCACGTGCTGCCTGGCGAGACCCTGGGTTACTGATATCCAGAGACTAGGTCTTCTCGTTCGTTTGCTTCAGAGCAGATAGCCACCAAGTCTGACTTAGTGACAAGCACTCAGAGACACCATAAGGAAGATGGAAACACTAGCCATCACCCAGGAGATGATATTCGCATCTCTTATCCGTGATACATACAGACCTGTAAACGAAACTTTTTTTTAATGTTTACTTTTGAGAGAGAGGGTGAGTAGGGGGCGGGGCAGAGAGCAGGAGACACAGAACTGGAAGCAGGTCCAGGCTCTGAGCTGGCAGCACAGAGCCCGACTCGGGGCTCGAACTCGCAAACCCGCAGGATCATGACCTGAGCTGAAGTCAGACGCTTAACTGACTGAGCCACCCAGGCACCGCCCCCCCCCCCCCCAGAACTTCTATAAATGAATAAGAAAAAAACAAACTGCTTCCTGGAAACAATGGAGGAAGGATACAAACAATTTACAAGAAAGCTAAACAGAAGAATGTATCAACATCCAGTGGCTACTCAAAATCTCGGGAGTTGGGAAACCATCTGAAGCCACAGTGAAATTCAATGAGAAGCAGTAAAAGTAGCTCAAAGTTTAAAGACTTTCTTGAACTAAGGAGCAGAGGGGAGAGAAGGAAGAGGGAGATAGAGAACAAGAGACTGAACATGAAGGAGTTAAGGATTTCACTTGATAAATCAGTTTTTTTTAAGTTTATTTTTTGAGAGAGAGAGAGCAGGGGAGGGGCAGAGAGAGAGAGGGAGAGAGAGAGAGAATCCCAAGCAGTCTCCAGCTCTCAGCACGGAGCCTGATGTGGGGCTTGAACTCACAAACCGTGAGATCGTGACCTGAGCTGAAATCAAGAGCCGGACACTTAACCAACTGAGCCAGCCAGGCGCCCCGATAAATTAGTTTTTTTTTTTTTTAATTTTTTTTAAGTTTATTTATTTTTGAGACAGAGAGAGACAGAGCATGAACGGGGGAGGGTCAGAGAGAGAGGGAGACACAGAATCCGAAGCAGGCTCCAGGCTCTGAGCCATCAGCCCAGAGCCTGACGCGGGGCTCAAACTCACGGATCGTGAGATCGTGACCTGAGCTGAAGTCGGACACTCAACCGACTGAGCCACCCAGACGCCCCAGTTTTTAAAAACAAACACAAGACAGGGGCGCCTGGCTGGCTCAGTTGGTGGAGCATGTGACTGACAGACTCTTGATCTCAGGGTCATAGGTTCAAGCCCCACACTGGGTGTACAGATTACTTAAAAATAGTATCTTCTATTGGGGTGCCTGGGTGGCTCAATTGGTTAAGCGTCCGACTTCGGCTCAGGTCATGGTCTCGTGGTTCGTGGGTTCGAGCGCCGCGTCGGGCTCTGTGCTGATGGCTCAGAGCCTGGAGCCTGCTTCCGATTCTGGGTCTCCCTCGCTCTCTGCCCCTCCCCTGCTCGTGCTCTGTCTCTCGTTCTCAAAAATAAATTTAAAAAAAATTTTTTTTAAAAAGAAACCTTCCTACCTGGATTTCCCCCCAAAGTTTTGCTTTTCAAATATGCAGGTTTAGAGCCATCTGGGCTGGGATTGGCTGCCTTATTCACCATTCCACGGCCAGGACCTTCAACAGGGCATGATACACACTAGCAGTCAAATCTGTTGAATGAATTAATGAGGGGCTGCTGTGTGTGACCTACGAGGACGAGTACCAGGGATGGGGGTGGGGGTAGCAGGCCACTTGCTGATAGAAGGACTGGAATCTTCTTCCTGCAAAGAAACACAGCATAGGCCTGTGGGTATCTGGGCCCAGAAAGGCTGTCTGTATCACTCACTGATCAGACCACGGGAACCAGGCTTCAGTAGCACCACCATATGTCTTGGAGAGAAACTGTACAGGAGGGGACAGATAAGCCAATTTCCATTTGAGGGGAAGGGCCATTCTGTTCCCTCTCCTCGGACATTTGGTTTTTCGGGCCCCTACAAATTCTTGGACAACTCAAGAGACAAGAGAGAAAATCTGAGCTGCCTGCTAATAAGTAAGGGAGAAAGCCACTAATTAGAAAAAGAAATGAATTTATGGGACATTTTATTCTAGTAATGTAGTAACTGGAATTCTCGGTTTAATGTCTGACTTCTATGACAGCTAAAATTTTGGCTTCGTATTCTTGACTGTACTCCCAGCTCCCGGGCCCTAGGAGTCATTAAATGGGTGTGTGTTACGTAAACAAGAGTTAAGTCTGTGGGTTTTTCCTTGCTCACCGCACCCTAGCACGTTCCTGTCACCACGGGGCTCCCTCTGGCTGGCGTGTGTTTCTTCCAGTATGTTCAGGGCCATTCCCTTACTTCATTTAGATCTCTGCTTCGATGTTTCCCCTTCTTTCCTGGCTTTATTGAAATACGGTTCACATGCCACACAATTCTCCCTTACCATTCAGTGGTTTTTATTATATTCACATGATTCTGCATCCGTCACTACAACCAAAGTTAAGAACATTTCATAATCCCCAGGTCCCATGTACCCGTGGGCACCTGGTAGGCTCACTCTTGATTTCAGCTCAGGTCATGGTCCCCAGGTCATGGGATCGAACCCTGTCTGCATCAGGCTCTGTGCGGAGCCTGGAGCTTGCTTAAGATTCTCTCTCCCTCTCCCTCTGCCCCTCTCCCCCACTCACACACTCTCTCTCTCTAAAATTAAAAAAAAAAAAATGAATGAATCTATAAAGAATTCATGTACCCTTTAACCATCACCTTTTTTCTTTTTAAGATTTTTTAACGTTTATTTATATATATTTTTGAGAGACAGAGACAGAGCATGGGGGGGGCGGGCGGGGGGGCAGAGAGAGAGAGGGAGACACAGACTCTGAAACAGGCTCCAGGCTCCGAGCTGTCCGCACAGAGCCTTGACGCCGGGCTGGAGCCACCCAGCGCCCCAACCATCACCTTCTAGTTTCCCCCATCACTCCCAGCCCTAGGCAACCACCAGTTAAGTTTCTGTTTCTATAGGTTTCCCTATTCTGGACACGTCATAAAAATGGAGTCACACAATCTGTGGCCTTTTGTGTCTGGCTTCTTTCATTTTGCATGTTTTCGAGGTTCATCCACTTTATAGCACCTATCGGCGCTTGGTTCCTTTCTAGGGCTGAATAGTCCCCATCGAATGGATATAGCGCACTGTATTTGTCCATTCACCAGTCGATGGACATTCGGCTCAGTTCCGCTTTTTGGTTATTCGGAACCATGCCGCTGTGAACATGCATCCTCAAGGTTTTGTGCGGACGTGTTTTCAATTCTCTTGGGTAGATACCTAGGAGTGGAATTGCTGGGTCCCCGGCGCATATTTGTCCATATGTTTACGGTCTTTCCTTTCCCAAGATTGTGATCTCCATAAAAACCGATATCGTTGCCCATTTTGGACCTTGCTGAATCTCCAGTGCCTAGAAAGGCGTCTGACAGAGAGCAGCTCGCGAGGCACGTGAGCAGGCGTCCCAGAGGCCGCCGGAAGCTGGACGTGGCCACTTCCGTAAACGCACCCCCAGAAATCCACAAGATCCCGGGTTCCGTGAGGAAGCCGTTGGAGCAGGGAAGCCCTGGCACTGGGGGAAGCTGCGGGGCAGAAGCCAGATGGCCGCCCCGGGGCCTGAGCGGGGGCCGAGGTTCTGGAGAGTCATGCTTCCGAGAATGCTGATGCTGGAAGTAAAAAAGCGCTGCCTGTCCCGTGTCTGGAAATGTCCTCTGACACACCCGCCGCCTTCCCGGGACGCCTGCGGAGAGGGGCGTCCCTCCCCGCTCACCCCAGACCCCATCGTAACCGCAGCGTCCGCTCGGGGGCCCAAGGGTGCACCCGTCGAGGCCCGTGGCTGCTCCAGTGAGCGGCTGCGGGGCAACCCCCACCCCCAAATCGGTGGCTCCCAACAACAGCCCTCTGCGAGTGTTCACAATTCCGCGGCGTGGCTGGCGCGGCTCTGTTCCTGGCCTCGCCCGGAATGAGCGGGTTCGTTGGATTCGGAGGACAGAAGAGCTGGAAGGGCCAAGCGGCCGCTGACCGCGCCTCGCCGCCCCTCAGCCTCCAGGGGCCGAGCCAGGCCCCCTGACGTGGCAGCCGGCGGCGTGAAGGCGGCAAGGCGGAAGCCGCAAGGCATGCTGGGGCCCAACCTGGCCAGTCACGTGCCGCCGCCGCCGCCCACCGATTGGTTAAAGCGAGTCACGGGATGACGCCCGTTCCCGAGGGGCGGAGAATAGACGCCGCCTCCGGTTGGGAGGAGTCACGGTCGCACAAAGGAAGGTGTGCCCAGGTGGGGGGAATTAGTGGCCAGGATTTTTCAAGTAGAGGCCATCTCGTGTTATCGTCGTCTTGCTGGTCATCCTTTTCGCTCACCAGCCACCCCCCACCCCCCCAGGGAAACGAGCCACAAATCAACAATTCTTAAATCTTTTCTGGCCGACGCTCTCCCCGAACGTGGATAATTCCATTCAGTCGGGGTCCCGCTTGACCTTGGATGGCAACGACGGCGAGCCGATGATAACGGCACCGGCCAGAACAGCTACCTCTGACGCGTCCCCGCCAGGCTGAGTGAGTTACTCCGCGGATCTCAGGACGCAGACCAGGAGTCTTGGGGTCACCCCAGAAGCAGAGTTTAAGAACGTGAAAATGTGTCCTTTCCCTGGGCGGTGATTCTAGAGGCCCCGGGAAGAAAGTAGGGAAATGGGACTGGGATGGGAAAGAGTCGGTGCTGGGTACTGGGGTGGGCGCTGGGGCTGAATCCCACTGGGCATCGCTGGAAGGCAGTTTGGAAGAAGTGGCTCAGAGCGCTCCTCCCAGCCTGCCCTCCACTTGGGTGAGGGGGAAAAAACTCTTCAGGCGAAGAATTCCAGGAGATTACAGCGAGTGAGGTCAAAGCCAAGGGGATGTGGATAGCGTGCTGACAGCCCTTTACTACTTCCGTTTTACCGAGGAGGAATTTGAGGCTTACAATGTCGCCGCCAAGAATCAACCCCAGGTTCCTCTCTCTCCGGAGCCCTGCTCTCTATCGCTCTGCTATACTGTTTTAGACCTCGGGTTGCCTCTAGTTTAACAACATTTCAAGCTAATACACTCCCCCAATTTTTTTTTTTTCAATTGTAAGACCTTGCACCTGACTCAAAATTAACTCCCAACTGTCTCAAAGACCCAAACGCAAAACCTAACACGGTTAGGAAAAAGCATGGGAGAAGTGTTTGGATTAGGCAAAGATTCCCTAGCTAGAACACCAAAAGCAAGATTCATAAAAGAAAAATGGGTAAATTGGATTTTGTCAGCATTTAAAACTTGGCTCTTTGAAAGCTGCTGTTAAGGGAATGAAGAGAAAAGCCACAGACTAGGAGAAAAGGTTGGAAAACCTCATATCTGATAAAAGATTTGTTACCAGCATATTCTAACGAACTCTCAAAACAATAAAATAAGCAACCCATTTTTTTTTTTTTTAATTAACGATCATTTCTTTTTTAGAGACAGAGACGGAGCACGAGTAGGGAGGGAGCAGAGAGAGAGACGGAGATGAAGAATCTGAAACAGGCTCCAGGCTCTGAACTGTCAGCACAGAGCCTGACGGGAGCCCGGTGCCCGATGCCCGATGTGGGGCTCGAACTCAGACCGAACGCGCAGACCGTGAGATCGTAACCTGAGCCGAAGTCAGAGGCTTAACCGACCGAGCCACCCAGGGGTCCCGGCAACCCAGTTTTAAAAAACACTCCTCATTGAAGTATTTTTATACATGTACAATGAGTGAGCATTAAGGTAGTTATCTTGGATAATCCATTCAAGGAAGCTCACTTAATCCAACTTAGTGAAGCCTGTATCCTTCACTTCATAGTGACGGAGACACTGGCGGGCACATACTGAGCCGTATTTTTGGAGCAGACTGTGCCAGTCTGAGCAGACACAGCAAGAACGAGAACCCTGGCCCAGCTTCTTCGGCTCCAGTAAAGCTGCCGGTGACCATCTTGCTCTCTCAGACGCAACGAGGCAATCCGTTTCTTTCAATGGGCAAAAGATCTGAAGAGACAGGTCACCAAAGGAAATATTCAGGTGGCAAAGAAACACGTGAAAGGATGCCCCACCTTCATTATTCATCAAGGGAACGCAAATGAAAATCACACCGCGCACATGACAGAATGGCCCAAATGAAAAAGGCTAACCATGCCATGTCCTGGCAAGAACGCGGAGGAAACGAAACTCTCATCCGTTGCCGGTCGGGTTGACACACGGCACAGCCACTTCGGAAAATCGTCTTGGCAGTTTCTTAAAAACTGAGACGCACGCCTCCCATGTAACGCAACCATCCACTCCTGGGTATATACCCAGGAGAAAGGAGAGCGTCCGTGCACGAAAACACTTGCTCCCAGAAGTTCACGGCACTTTTATTCGTGATCGCCACAACCGGAAGCAGCCCAAATGCCCACCAGCAGGTGAGCGTATAATTGAGCTGGCATATTCAGGCAACAAAATTCTACTCAGCAGTAGGAAGGAAGGAGGTATTAATGCAGCCACATGGATGAATCAAAATAATTATGCTGAGCAAACGAAACCAGTCTCGAGAGGCTGTATGCTGCCATTTCTACAAAATTCCAGAGAAATGCAAGCGAATCTAAAGACAAAAAGCAGATCGGTGGTTGCTGGGGGATGTTGGGGGTGGGGCGGCTGACCAGGGGGTGCAAAGAAACATGGGTGGTGATGGGTGCTTTCACGCTCCAGATTGTGATGGTTTCGTGGGTTTACTCGAAACCCGTCAAACTGTACACTTTAAAGGTGGACAGCTTATTGTATGTCAGTGATACCTCAACAAAACTTTGTTTTCAGGCACTTGAGAAAGTGAATCAAAATATTTCGAGTTAAAAATAATCACAACGTTTGGGGCGCCTGGGTGGCTCAGCCGGTTAAGCATCTGACTTTGGCTCAGCTCATGAGCTCGTGATGTGTGACTTTGGGCTTGGGATTCTCTCTCTTGCCCTCTCTCTGCCCCTTCCCCATCTGTCTCCTACATGGCCACAGAAACGTAACGAGTTGGGTTGACAAAAGCTTTATCACCTGTTGATGGTAACGATGAAGAAATGGGGTACCAAGAGAGTAAGTGCTTTGCCTGAGGTTATCTGGCTCATAGGTGAGATTTTATATCTTACTCTGTACGAGGCCCATTTTCTCCCACTGAAATGATTTCCTCTCGGCTCAGGATTCTTATTTAGAGAGACCAAGCACCAATGACAGACCCCAGGTACCCACCGAAGCCCTCGTCTCACCCTTCACTCAGCCAGATTCTCCATGGTCTCAAAGTTACTGCTTCGGGAAACATGCTAAAAGCACCCCCAAACAGTGAGGACAGCCGTTCATTTAAGGTAAGTCTGCTTTCGAGAAAGCCCTGCCTGGCCACGGAGCTGTCCACTTTGACCCAGTGGTAGAAAATTGCTACCATATTTATGGAAAGTTCAATGGGGACTTGGTCTACACGTCTGTTGGAGAGATTCCGCTCCAAGAATTTGCTGCACATTTCCAGATGTCTGACCCTACTTTTCCTGCTGCATTTATCAAGAGCCCGGCACCTCTGGCTGAATTTTGTGCACCAGACTCTCTTAGATTCCTGTTCCCTCCCTGATTCTCAGTTTTCCTTTGCCTTCTCAAAAAAAAAAAAAAAAAAAAAATCCTCTGTCTTTTCATCGTTTTTTGTTTAAGTTTATTTACTTTGACAGAGACAGAGACAGTGCGAGCAGGGGAGGGGCAGAGAGAGAGAACCCCAGGCAGGCTCTGTGCTGCCAGTTCGAGCCACCTGTGGGGCTTGAACCCACAAAACTGTGAGATGAGCCGAAACCAAGGGTCTGACGCTCAACCGACTGAGCCACCCAGGCGCCCCTCTCTGTCTTTTCATCTTACTTTATCATGTGTGTCTCTCTCATGTCTTTCTGGAACAAGGTAGGGAAATGGGCAGCAAATACAATTTTTAAATAACATGCGGATAATGTTTGTTATTTCTGAGGGTTGTTGAGAGGATTTGGGAAGGTGGAGTGTGTTTCTGCATCTACCAGGGGGGCTGGAATGAGGGAAGTACTCGATAAAAAAGATAACATTTGTCCCCCTCAGTGAAGGGCACTTACTGCCCAGCCCTGGCACCCCACCCCCCCTCCCCGGCGCCCCAAGCCTTTTATCCTGCTTGACTTAATCTTCTTTTTTTCATGGCACTAAGAGCTTGTTTATATATGACATTAGGGTTCTCACCCTCAGCGTTATGGACATTGGGAGTCGATGGTTTTTGGCGGGGGGCGGGGGGCGGGGGGGTGTCCTGTGGGTGTCCTCCACCCTCCACCTACTGTGATAGTCACAAACGTCTCCAGACATGGCCGCGGGTCTCCTGGGAAGCATAACCGCCCCCGGTCAAGAACCACGAGGCTACACAACTTAACTTTTTCGTTATGTTCATTATTTCGTTGTCTGTCCCTCTCTACCCCCATCTGGAATGCTTGCTCTGAGAAGGAAGGAATTTGCTTGTTTGGGTGGGGCACTGATGTGTGCCCAGTTCCTAGATTGATGCCTGGCCCAAGGTAGGTGCCCAATATTTATTGAAAGAATGAACATTTGGGGGGCGCCTGGGTGGCGCAGTCGGTTAAGCGTCCGACTTCAGCCAGGTCACGATCTCGCGGTCCATGAGTTCGAGCCCCGCGTCAGGCTCTGGGCTGATGGCTCAGAGCCTGGAGCCTGTTTCCGATTCTGTGTCTCCCTCTCTCTCTGCCCCTCCCCCGTTCATGCTCTGTCTCTCTCTGTCCCAAAAATAAATAAACGTTGAAAAAAAAATTAAAAAAAAAAAAGAAAGAATGAACATTTGGTGGGCTTTGTGCTCAGGGGTGGACATGCATAAGCTCACGTCTTTATCTTGGCATCCCTCGGGGGGAGGCCATGTCACTCTCCCTCACTGTCCCCCTTTGCACAGAGGAGAGAAGCTGAGGCTTCCAGAAACTACACACATACATCCCCACTCACCCAATGCAGAAGCTTAGCTGGCCACCACCCAACAGATGTCTGTGTTCTCCCTTCTGGCCAAGAAGGATTGAGTCAAGGTCAAATCGGGGGTCAAATCCAGCCTCCAGGCACCTGCAGGGGAGTTGAGGAAGCTGAGCTGGCCTGGAGGGCCAGGCCTGAGGAGACTTTCTCAGGGCCAGAACTTGGCTGGGCTCAACCTGCTCCTCTTGGGAAGGGGTCTGGCCCCCACACCTATAAGAGATGGGGGTGAGCTCCAAAATGAAGCCACCAGTATCCTCAGGGAGATGTTGCTGCAGCTACCGGGCCAGGGAGGCTGGAACTGCGTGCGTGCGCACGCGCACACACACACACACACACACACACACACACACACACCACTCCCCACCCCTCTCCACTCCCTCTGGCCCTTCTACCCCTCACCTCTAACTCCACTACCCCTCAACACACACACAAACTTCACACTTATCCCTAAACCAGCCCAGAACAGAGAGGGCCCTGCACTGTGATTGGTCCATGAGTCCCTGGTACCAGGAACTGAGAGGAAGGAGATGGAAAGGAAGGAAAAGAGTAGGCGGGACCAGCAGGGGGCTACATTTATATCTATGCCCAGGGCTGGGCGCCTGCTCACCATGGACACTGCCGGGTACAGCAAGTGGGACAGCAGGCTCGAGGAAGTCCCTGGAGGTATGAGCAAAAAGACAGCCTCCCCGGCCCCCTGGGGTCTCTCAGGCCAGAGGTTTGGGGTTTGACGGGAGCAGGGAGGGGAACAGCCAAGAGCGGGTCCATGCAGTGGGTGCAGAAGAGACACCACAGGCACCAGAACCAGCTGCACCTGGGTTCAGATTCTAACTCTGCCACTTAGAAGCTGTGTGACCATGAGCAAGTTGCTTCGTCTCTCTGAATCTCGGTTCCCTGGGAGGAACCCAAGCACCCAGGGCTCTGTCCTCGGGGGGCCAGAGATCCAGGGCAGTCCTGGTGCAGGAGGGACCCACGGAGCCCATCTGTGTTATCCCAGGGCACTGGGGACGCTGGGGACGGAGACTCCTCTTCCTGGCCCTGGTGCTGGTGGCAGCCTTAGCCCTGTGGGCCCTCATTCTGAGCATCCTATTTTCTAAGGGTGAGTGACCGTGTAATGAGGCCCCCCGGGGGGGACATAGACCTTCCCTCTGTCTCAGGACGCCCCCAGCTGGGTCCCGGACCCCTGTCCGGGTCGGGGGTGTGAACACGTGTGAACAGAGTTTGTGCATGTCTTTGGGCTGTGTGCACCCACCTGTGTATGCATATGCGTGCATGTCTCTCCTCGGCGTGTGTGTGTGTGTGTGTGTGTGTGTGCACATCACGTGCGCTGTGCGCCTGCCCGTCCCTTCTGTGCGTCCGGAGACGGGAGCTCCTGCACCCCCTGGGCAAGGGGAGAGTTCCGGAGGCCCCGGCCCCGCCTGCAGGAGCCTCTCTCCACAGCCTCCACAGAGCGAGGGGCGCTGTTCGGCCACCAGGACCTGCTGAGGACAAACGGTGCGTGCAGAACGGTGACTCGGTGACTCTTAGCGCCTCCCCCCCCCCCCCAGATGTGAGGGCCGGGAGTGTCTAGGACCCTGGAGACAGGGTAGTGGGTGGGTGAGGACCCCTTCGGTCCCAGGGGTTGGCCCCGGAGTGGGGGAGGGTGTCCTGTTTGAGTCCCCGCAGATGACCTGGAGTGTGTGGGGGGCGTGCGGGGGTCATTCCAGCCTCGAAGCAGAAGGCGGCGCTGGGTGTTTTGAACGCGGAGGTCCGAGCCTGCAACAGCTGCTGTAAGACGAGTGTGCTGGGGCGGGGCTTGGGCCGGGATTGGAGGCGGCGAGCCGGGATGGTCTGTGGCAGGTGGGGGCGGGGCAGGTTGGTCACCGACGTCCCGCGCCTATCCTCCCCCCCGTCCTTCCCAGGCTCGGGGACACAGACGCTGCTAGAGAAGGCACGCGCGGAGCTGGGGGAGGCGCAGGCGAAGCTGATCGAGCAGGAAAGTGCCCTCAAAGAACTGAGCGATCGCGGTGAGAGCTGGACATTGCCTCGACCCCTGATCCCTCACCCGGGCTGTCACTCAACCCTTGACTCACATACTAACACCTATCCTGAAGAGGGTTACCGCGACCCTATCCTGTGATCCTGACCTCTGACCGCTGGACTCTGATCTCGACTCCAACTCCTAACCCCAAGCGCAACTTGGCCCCAACCAGCTGTAACAGTCCTTGACGGTGATGTCATTCTTGACCATGACCATGACCCCGGACGTGGATGCTGACTTTTTACCTAATCATGACCCTACTCCCGACCCTGACCTGAGCCATAATCTGGACTCCCTTGACCTCGCAGTGACCCAGAGCTTGGCTGAAGCGAGCAGGGACCGCGAGGACATCCGCAGTGAGCTCCTCAGGGCTCTGGAGGCCGCCCGGCTGGGGAACAGTGAGCAAGACAGAGGGGAGAGAGGAGGGGACAAGTGGACCCTACGTGTGGGCCTCGGGATGCGCCCCGTCCTGCCCTTTGACCTTGGCCTGTTCTCTGTGGCTCCGCCCCTAGACCTCGGGGGTCCACCTCCCCCCAATTTTTTCCGTCTGCTCTACCCCGGGGGCAATTCACCTCTTTGACCTTCGCCATCCCACAGGCTCCTGTGAGGAGTGCCCCGCATCGTGGCTGCCCTTCCAGGGCTCCTGCTACCTTTTCTCCATCCTGCGGGCCACGTGGGAGGAGTCGCAGCGCAACTGCGCGGGCTCCGGCGGACATCTGGTGATAGTGGGGGACCTGGAGGAGCAGGTGGGCAGTCCTCCCCCGCCCCCCCCCCCCCGAGGTCCCAGGAGGGAGGCGGAATTCACCTGAGGGGGCGGGGCCTGGGAGGGGCGGGGCGGGGGCGAGGCGGACCCCGCGGGCTCAGTGTCCTTCCCCGCGCAGGGCTTCCTGAGTCGGAACACGCGCGGCCGCGGTTACTGGCTGGGCCTGAGGGCCGTGCGCCGCGCGCGCCAGATCCAGGGCTACCAGTGGGTAGACGGAGTCCCGCTCAGCTTCAGGTGAGGGAAGGGACTTGGGGAGAGGGACGGGTCAGACCCCAGGGGCAGTGCTGTGGCCAGACCTGTGGGGATGGGCAGGCTGGACCCCAGGACCTGGCGGAGGGTTTAAATTCCGGGAGTTTAGAAAGCTGTCTCCCAGGTGCACGCTCAAGTTAGACCCTCGGAGTGTCTAGGTTGGACCCAAGCAATAAACAGGATAGATCCTCAGGGCTGGACGCCAGGCCCGTCCTCAGACTCCCAGAAACAGCCCCCCGACAAACCTCCGCAGCCACTGGAACCTGGGGGAGCCCAATGACTCTATGGGGCGCGAGGACTGCGTGATGATGCTACGCACTGGGATGTGGAACGATGCACCGTGCGACAATGAGAGGGACAACTGGATTTGTGAGAAGAGGCGCAGCTGTTGACCCCGCCCCGTGTCCCGCCCACCGCCCGGCGGGCGGTCCCCTGAGCGGTTCACCTTCCCGGCGCCGCCCACCGCCATCGATTTCTTCATTTTCCCCCATCCACGGCTACCGAGAGCCATCCCGCCCAGTCCTGTCAGGTACAGGCCCTGGGACCTCTGCTCCAGCCTCACCGCCGGCCCTCAGGTGGTCATAACCGAGCCTCCACCCGACCCAAACCGCGGGCGGCCCACTGTCCCCACCTCCCTCCCCGGCCAACACCGGGCAACTCTGGACGAGCTGTTTGGTGTTCTTGCATTTTTTTCCCCCCAGACTGGGAAGCCTTACAGACGGGGGTTTTGTGAGTTGTCTTCGCAGCCCTTAGGAAGCATCAATAAATGCTTGAGAAATGAATCTTGGTTCATGGCTTTGGTGAGCTGTTCAACGTTTAATCTCAGAGACCCTGATATTTATCCCTGTGAGTGACCCTGACCTCTCTCAGTGACCTCCCGGTCCTATGGTGCCCCAAAACTCAGGGCATAACGTGTACTGGGCCAGGACGGCTGTAGGGCACCGGGGACACTGGAATGACTCAGACCGAGCGCTCTGATCTAGCAGGGCACTGGAACAATGCTATGATCAGTGACTCCAAGGAGTGGACAAGGCCCTGAGGCAGGTGGGAGAGGGGCTGCCCGGGCCTGAAGAGCAAGTCCTTTCTGGCTTGGGCACCTAGGTTCGGTGACCACTGGCTGGAGCGATCAGGAAATACATTGCAGAGAACATGGCCTTTTGAGCAACAACGGGAGGACCTGGGAAGGAAGGTCTTTGCAAGCAGGGGGTGTTAAGTATGGCTGAACCCATTCTGGGGGGTGCAGGGTGCACCGAGCCTGGCTTTCGCAGCTGGGGACTTTTGATCTGAATTCACCCTGCACTCCCAAAGTTTCCTGCTCCTGTCCTGGAGACATGGGGGCTCTCCCAGAATTTCCAGTGGAGATAGGTCCAACTGAGGGGAAGGACAGGTTAGTGGCCTTTAGTCCTGGGCAGCTTGGGAGCTCCCAGACCCCCTGGCCAGGGGAGACCTCGCTGAGAACCCCGACACTTCTCTGGGTGCTCTCCTCTACTGGGTGCTCTGCTCGCCCAGAGCGAGGCACTAACCAGGCTCAGGAGCCACCTCTGTCCCCAACAGATAACCTACCTAGGGGACTGCTGGCCAGACTGATGAATTTCCAGGCAGTCAGCTTGGAGGGGTATGAGTGTTGTGGCGCTGCTGTAACTAATGACCGCCAGCTTGATGGCTTACTAACAACACCATCCTCTTACGGTTCTGGAAATCTGAAGTCCAAAGTTAGTTTTCCTGGACCAAGATCAAGGTGTCACCAGAGCCAGGCTCCCTCTGGAAACTCCAGGGGAGAATCAGCCTCCTTGCCTTTTCTAGTGTCTAGACCTGCACCCCTCACACTCCCTGGCTCCTGGCCCCTTCTTCCGTTTCCAAAATCGGTGGGGTAGTATCTTGCTTCACTGACCACAGTGCCGTCCAAGTCAAATCTCCCTCTGCCTCCCTTCTTACAAAACAGCTTGTGATTGCTGTTTAGGGCCCACCCAGATAATCCAGGAGGATCCCCTGGGATATTGTAAACAGTTGTAAAACTAATCACCCTGACTTAGCTCAGATGCCACCCACAGGTGAAAGGTACAGTTCCTTTTTCTTTCTAAACATTTATTTATTTTTGAGAGAGAGAGAGAGAATCCCAAGCAGGTAAACACCGTCAGTGCAGAGCCCGACGCGGGGCTTGAACTCACAAAACCGTGAGATCGTGACCTGAGCTGAAATCAAGAGTCGGACGCTCAACCAACTGAGCCACCCAGGCGCCCCCCCCCCATCTTTTAAAAATTTTATTGGCGCAGTTGGTTAAGCGTCCGACTTCAGCCAGGTCACGATCTCGAGGTCCGTGAGTTAGAGCCCCGCGTCAGGCTCTGGGCTGATGGCTCGGAGCCTGGAGCCTGTTTCCGATTCTGTGTCTCCCTCTCTCTCTGCCCCTCCCCCGTTCATGCTGTGTCTCTCTCTGTCCCAAAAATAAATAAAAAACGTTGAAAAAAAATTAAAAAAAAATTTTTTTATTTAAGTGATCTCTACACCCAACACGGGGCTCGAACTCATGACCCCGCGATCAAGAGTCGTATGCTCTTCTGACTGAACCAGCAAAGCAAGATCGCCCTCACTGCAGACACCCGCTGCAAGTTTGGGGTTGCCTAGGCCACCTGCTCTTTGAACTAACTGATTCTGACCGACTGGTAGAAATTCAGAGGATCTCACAATCCCCCCTCTCCCCGGTTCCCTAATTCGCTAGAATGACTCATAGAACTCAGGAGAGTTTGCTACAGTTCTTACAGTTTTATTATAAAGGACACATCCAGACTGGCCCAATGAAGAGACCCGTGTGGCGACGGCCAGGAGGGTCCCAAACACAGAGCTTTTGTGTTCAGTCCCCAGGGACTCAGGTCATGTCACTTTCCCGGCACAGTGATGTTTCCACCAACCAGGAGGCTCCTCTGAGAGTTGGTGTCCAGAATTTTTATTGGGACTTCATTTTGAAGGCGTGGTTGATGGAATCACAGGCCACACGATCCCGTCTCTGGAGCTCAGAGAGCTGGTCTCTCTGGCATGACCAGCCCCCCCCCTCCCTGAGCTATCCCCTCCGTATAACTCAGGTGTGGCCCAAGGGGCCCCCACAAATGACAAAGACACTCCTATCACTCGGGAAATCCCAAGGGTGCAGATGATCCCTTCCAGGAACAAAGGACAAAGACCCGCCAAATTCTGAAATACCTACATCTTCCCACCTCTAAATTCTTAGTCACATCTGCAAAATCTCTGTTGCCATGTAAGATGACGGTCAAGGTTCCAGGGATCATGACGTGGATATCTTTAGGGACCACTGTGCAGCCTCGCACCAGACGTGACCAGCTGACAAACAGACTCGCAGGTAGGGCAGCAGCCAGAGCACCTGCCTGGTGGCCCAAGTGCTTGGTGAGTGGGGTCAGTGATGGTCTGGAGGACAGACACCCCGCAGCACAGACGGGCAAAGAGGCCCAGGTGTCTCTCCCGGGAATGGAGCTGAATGGGCACCGTGGTTGAGGCAGAAGGGGGTGGCCCCAGAGTTAAGCAGGAGCTGCCCTGGGATCTTTTATTTATTTTTTTAATGTTTACTGATTTTTGACAGAGAGAGAGAGTGGCAGGGAGAGAGAGAGGGAGACACAGAATCTGAAGCGGGCTCCCGGCTCTGAGCTGTCGGCCCAGTTCAAGCTGACACGGGCTTGAACACACAAACTTCGAGATCGTGACCTGAGCCAAAGTTGGATGCTCGACCGCCTGAGCCACCCAGGCGCCCCTGCCCTGGAATCTTTCAGAGACCCGGCTCCGGCTAGAGCAAGCCCCTCAGCTCAGACATTGGGGTCTGGGGCCTGAGGGGGCCCTGGGTAGGAGCCCAGACAAGGTGACTGGCCTAGAGCCCCCCCTCATGCCCTCTGCCATCTGCCCTGCCCCCTCCCGGTCAGCTCGCAGGCACTGCCTCCCCGCTGCCTGGCTCAAACCTGTCAGCATCCAGTTGGCACACGAAGACCCTGCATGAAAGGGTCAGGGTCAAGTTCCCCAACTTTGGCTTCTTGGTCCCAGGCCCTCCCTCCTCCAAGATTCGACCTCCCTGGGAAGCAAGGCGTCCCTGGAGCCTAACCTAACCCCAGAACAGACCTCGGCCTTTGGTTGGCTTTTGTTTTCCTGGAGAATCAGTCTTGCCAGAAAGACTACATTCTAAAGCTGATACAGGAGGGGACCTGAATACTGAGAAGCCCTGTGATGTTTCCCCCCCGCCGAGAGGCTGGCTGGGCCAGGCCAGCAGTCTTAATGATGGACCTCCTTTCCTGGAGACCCCAGAGGCTCTGAGAGCCCCCCGTAAGATCCGAAATACACCTGTAATGTGCCCGGGACATAACAGTGATTGCTCAGAACACCTGATAGGCCCGTAGCGGACAGAACGACAGTCCCCCAAAGATGTCCGTGTCCTAATGCCCTGAACCTATGAATATGCCGCCTTATATGGCCACAGGGACTAGGCACGTGTGATTGAATTAAGGGTTTTGCGGTGAGGACGTCATCCCGGGTTGTCCAGGTGAGCCCGTTGTAATCACAAGGGTCCTCGAAAGTGAAAGGAGGAGGCAGGAGAACATCGGGGAGGGAGACGTGGCTACGAAATTTTTAATTTAATTTAATTTAATTTAATTTTTTAAATCCTTATTTTTTTTTAATGTTTTTATTTATTTTTGAGACAGAGAGAGACAGAGCGTGAGCAGGGGAGGGGCAGAGAGAGAGAGGGAGACACAGAATCGGAAGCGGGCTCCAGGCTCTGAGCTGACAGCACAGAGCCCGATGTGGGGCTCGAACTCCCAGACGGTGAGATTATGACCTGAGCCGAAGTCGGAGGCTTAAATGACTGAGCCACCCAGGTGCCCCCAATTTTTTTTTTTTTAATTTTAAAAATAACGTCTTAACCTCCCACCCACCCCCGAAAGGATAAAAAACCAATTTCCCCCCAGAGCCTCAAGACCAATGCCACTCTGCGGACACCTTGACTTCGGGCCAGCGAGACTGATGTCAGACATCTGCTTTCCAGAACCGTGAGATAATGAGTCTGTGTTGTTTTAAGCCACTAAGTTTGAGGTAATTTATCACCACAGCCACTGGGGACTAAATAGGAGTTTCCCTGAAGGTCACCCATAACTCAGCGGTAACCAGCCCTCTGTGATAATCCTGCAACATACCTTAACATGTCTGTGGGTGCCTATGCCCCGCCATAAAAGCATCTTGACTTCACAGAAGCCACTGGAAACACCAGTAACAAACTTTGAACACCCATAACATGGCAGTCACCACTTGAGATCTAACCGTCACGTCCCGTCAGCTGACAATACACATATACCTCCTACTTTGACTAAGGTGGCCACATGTCTCTATTTGTCTCGCGTGGTCCTCGTTTGCACTTGCTCCCCATATAACTATTTTTTAAAAAATAATTTTAGAGGCGACTGGGCGGCTCCGTCGGTTGAGCGACCGACTCTTGATTTTGGATCAGGTCACGATCTCATGGTCACGGGATCGAGCCCCGCCTTGGGCTCCTGCTGAGCGTGGAGTCTGCTTAAGATTCTCTCTCTCCCTCTGCCCCTTTCCCCCACTCCTGGTCTCTCTCTTTCTCTCTAAAAAACAAATTTTTGTAAATTATTTTAAAAATCGACTTTGTTGACGTGCAACTGATACACAATAGAATGTACCAACTTATCACACCCATTCGGACAAGGTCTGTCAAAAAACAGCAACGACAAAACGGCAGGTGCCGGCCAGGACGTGGAGAAACTGGAACCCT